ACTGCTGCAAAAATTCCATAGTAGCGCTTTTTGACTGACGAATTTGATGACAGTATAAGGTTGGGCTAGTTACAAACCGAACAACTGTAGTTCAACTCCATCAGTGGAAAAAACCATTTTTTTTGTTTTTTCTAAAAACTGTTTCCGACGGAAATCACTTCGCTGCGGCAGTATCTTTTCTAGATTTGGACCAATTGCCCTTTATCCGAAAACGAGAAATCAACTGCTTCTTCAGTACGAAAAATAACATTTGCGACAGCGTAGTTTTCAAGAGTCCGGTAGAAGGAGCGTAGTTTTTTGCAGAACGGTCTGCTACTTTCATTTCCCGTATTTTCCTTTTCTTAGAAAATTGGAACAAAATGGAGCTAGATAACCCCATTCATGTAATTTAAATGAACTGCTCTCTGCAAAAAATGGAGGCGATTGGGAAACAGTCTGAATGGAAGCAAATGCCAAAAGCAACCACTCGCTGGCAAATCAGCCAAGAGCTCTCTCTTTCGAAAGTTGCCCAGGAGGTAAGTAATGGAGGGTTTACCCAGTTGACATGCGTACCCGTGACAATTTACCGTCTTATATGGTAAATCCACACCACGCGTCTTAGTGATTCTGATTTTGGATGACTTATACCAATGTATCGGATCGAAACAGTTTCGTAGGAAAAGATTTGCCAGCGAGTGGTTGCTTTTGGCATTTGCTTCCATTCAGACTGTTTCCCAATCGCCTCCATTTTTTGCAGAGAGCAGTTCATTTAAATTACATGAATGGGGTTATCTAGCTCCATTTTGTTCCAATTTTCTAAGAAAAGGAAAATACGGGAAATGAAAGTAGCAGACCGTTCTGCAAAAAACTACGCTCCTTCTACCGGACTCTTGAAAACTACGCTGTCGCAAATGTTATTTTTCGTACTGAAGAAGCAGTTGATTTCTCGTTTTCGGATAAAGGGCAATTGGTCCAAATCTAGAAAAGATACTGCCGCAGCGAAGTGATTTCCGTCGGAAACAGTTTTTAGAAAAAACAAAAAAAATGTCCGAGCTTTTTTTAGATGGGTACGTCGCTTGGCACATTGCTTCAATATGCATCACAGTCTGCAATCACTCAGTTATTCCTCTTTATTGTTGTTTTCTTCATCTACGGTATGTTGAAAAATTTTTGATGGAAAAACCACGATCCAGTCTACTTTTTCGACCCAGAAATCACGGCTCGTGATTCGAATCATGAATCACGATTCGTTTGCTTGTGATTAAAAATGGGACTGGTAGTTGTAATAATAAAAAGGGTTATTATTTTCAAAATATCTTTTCCTACGAAACTGTTTCGATCCGATACATTGGTAAAAGTCATCCAAAATCAGAATCACTAAGACGCGTGGTGTGGATTTACCATATAAATACGCTACAGCTCTTTATAAATCCAAACCAATCCTATTTTTTCAAGAACAGAAATAACTCATGACCGAAATCGATGGTATGGCTGTTGGCTGCGCCATTGGCGAACGTCCCGAATATAAATCAGTGGTAGACTAATAACCAAGAAAATTTCAAGTTTTCATATAATGAAAATAATAATTGCAAATGCCTGTTACTGGCAATTTAGATTGGTTACAACGATTTAGAAAAATCTGAATTTGCAAAAAATAAAATTGACAAGATTGCGCTTCTTCGATTTTCTGAGTTCACCGGTGAATAGAATCCTAAAATTTGTGGATCGAGGTAAATGCGCCTGGATCAGCTGTTAATTTATGACCTAGTTCTCGAATTATGCGGCTGGCAACTTTTCTTTAATCGATATTGCATCTCCTAATAGTCAGATTGTTAGCATTTCAGAAATAATTTTTCCTCCAGTCTCAGAATAATTATTTTGAAACTGTTCCGATTCTCATATTTAATAAATCAATTTAAACTTAAAGGTTGGCACAATTTGGATGCCGATGTACGGATAATGATTGGTGCCAGCGATAATCGTTCGCTGCTGGCATTTCTGCTTGGCGCAACAAGTCCGCTTTATACTGCTTTACTGTTTACTTCTGTACCTGCTTTTCTTGTGGTTTGTTTTAGTTCGGGATACTTCGATCTTTTTATAAATTTTTTATCTAAACCAATTACTGAAAACTCCATAATTTGCCCACGCAGTAGTTGTGGGTATCCGATGTTAGTGATGTGCTGTCAATGCGCAGCTATGCCAGACTTTCAATCCTGCAGAGGAAGGGAGCGAGAGGGGGAGATGCTTCCGATTATCTTAAATTTAATTTCTTATTCCTAATTACATTCATAGGCGGATCAAGGGTAAGAAGGCGAGGCGTTTTTGCCCCTCCTCGTCCCTCGCCCCGTCTCTCAACGGCACAGGCACCAGTGTTGCAAAAGCCCGGGTCTAAAACTAAGCAGACTAAGGCCTAAAGTAACTCTAGGTAGCAGTGTCACAACTAAATTTCCAGTTTTTTCATGGCTCCAAAGAGAGAAGGAGTTCTCCTCATACTCCCGTCGCCCCTCTCTTCCAGGGGCCCCACTGCACCGCCCCTCCTAGATGTCCGTCCTAGATCCGCCTATGGTTGCATTTAATTTCCTTCAAATCTTTATTCGTACCCAAAGTCATTAAGTCATTATTCAACTACAGTTGATGTGTACCTTCTCTTCGAAGGCCGACCGAGTGGTCGCTTACCTTCTTGTGGGTATTACAATCCTAAATAGACGGCCCAAACTAATCAATTCTTTTAAATGTGATTTCATGGAACGAGAAGAGGAATTGCTAACTACCGAAGAAACAGCATAAGTCTTTTAGGCAGTGAGTACTAATTGGAGATATGTAGATTAGGACTGGTATAGCTGCGCCTGGCATGCAGTAGCACTGCAGTAATATAACTAATATGAAATATCCAAATTGAAAACCCTGGTGAACATGGCATTCTTGTTATGTTTGTGAATGGTTTTCACAGTACCTCGATTCTTTACCATGTTACCTCGATTCTTTGACGAACTGTTTCATCGTCGCGTTTCTTCTTGCCAGTTGATACAACTGGCAAATTCTGCAGGCAAAACTTGTGAGTGTATTTGATATGTTGATGAGTGGCTTGGATATTGTGAAGCATATCGATTATGCTACGGCATTCATCTCTTCATCCAAAACGATTTGTCGATTTTTTGGCTATCTGGTATTGTTCGGTCCAGCAGCCATTATCCTTGTTTTTATCATTGTTGCTTACTATATCAGTGCTATTCGCTATAAAATGGTCAGCTATTATTTTTTTTTTCTTCTCAAAATCATAATTCTCTCCAAATTTTTCTTCCAATAAGCAATGCGTTTTTTTCCTCAGTAATTTTTGCCTAGTCCAGTAAAAATCTCGGCAATTTCCCACTCCGTGAACGGTTAGAGAAACAAGCTGACCGCGGTCAGGATTAAATTACTTGTTTGCTGTATTGCGGGCACCTATGAAATTGAAAAAATGCCTTATAAATTTGAATATTTCCAGCCTTGGGGAGCAGTTCTGGATGCAACT